AAATCCCCTAATAAAACTTAAAGCCAAGTCCTCCCCTCATAATACCAGATACAAAAACCATAGCGAGCGAATATCTAAACCTACCATCTGAGAACAAAAATAAAGATTATTAAAACTTTATTTTAGTTTTATTCTTTTTAACTGAAGCCTAGGGGGTGCTTCTCACCCCACATCGACAACCCAACGCTTCAAAAGACAAAATTGAAAGAGTTCAGCGCAAGTTCATTAAATCATTAGATTACAGAACTGGTAATCCACACTTAAATTATGGGACCTCTCTAGTTTTTCATAATATAACATCCTTAAGACACTATAGATATAAACTATTTGTTTAAAATTTTGAATGACATAGTCGGATTCCCGTTCCTTTTGAAAAAAATAGACTTCCAGAAAGGTCGTCAAAAAAAAAACATTATTTGCTGTAAAGCAAAGTAAAACTTGTTACGGAAGCAATCGATATATCAAAAGAACTTTCACGTTATACAACGACGTTTTCAACGATGATGTTAATATTTTTGAAACCTCCTTAATTAAATTTAAACGCCAAGTTGCTGAACACTTGCATAAATTGGATGTATGATTGTAATTGTTAATATACGTAAGTAATAAAATAGGTAAAACCATTATTATTTGATATTGATTATTGCTTTGTATGGAATGTATGAATGTAGTAATGAAATCTATTTTATAGAGTTATCTTCAATGGTTGTAATCTATACTTATGTATTATAGAAAATTTTATATAGAGAACTGTAGGTTTACTTTTTGTAAATATTTTATGCTCATAAAAATGTATAAAACTGTTTGTTCCTCAATAATATTAATATTATTTAATTTTTTGTTATAAAATAATATTGCTTCTACGTTTCTAATATATTATTTCATGTTTTACACTCATCATGACGTACAATAATATGCAATAAATATTATGTATTTTAGTTTTCTGAATACATTCATTTGATTAAATAACAAAATGGTCCAAAAAACGAACCACTCATTTATTAAGTTAAAAAAATATCAAAGGTAATTTGAATATTAAAATAAATAAACTTATAATATATGTACGGAATTGCTACCCTAATATAACCCTTGTTTTATCGTTTCTCCGAGTTATATTACCCTATAAGGATAACATTATGTTAGTTAATTATAATGGAATTATAAAACAACATCAAAAAAAAAAATTAATATAATAATAAAATTCATTGCTTAGGTAACGATTATGGTGATTTCAATACGAATACTATAAATGTATAAAAAAATCATTCGTAAAAAACTTTAAATTGATAACAGTGTCGCCATCTATTAACAGTCAAAACAAATTAGTCCTGGACATTAATAAGCTGCAGATGATGATGAGATATGATAACTTAATGTTGGATGTATGTTAACTGAAAATTACTTTGTTTCGATAACTTTTTTTAATTTCTATCCAATTTATGTTTCAGGTAAGCTTCATCATTATGGAACGTCAGTGAGTGGATGTCACCTTTTATTTACTATGCACTTCGTTAATTGTTACTGAAGCTCGCAAATAATCGCATGGTTCCACCTTCATTCTGTAGATTGAACTTGGATCCAAAATTTAACATTAAAAATTGTCTGCAAACTTTTGACTTTCCTCTTTGAATATAGAATTTTGGTTATAATAACATTTATATATATTCACACGTATATACGGTACAATGGTTCTTATGGTTATTATGCATGGTCATCGGCGTGCCAAATTTAGCATCCTTGATTCTTAATTCAAAAAATGTATTATTATCAGTAAAACAACGAATAAGATAGAGTAGATAAACCAGTCTTAAGCAGTTAATGGTACATCTACTTTACATTCTTTGTTAGAGAAAATAGTTTTATAATTCAGTGTAAGAGTATAATAACATCGCTGTTTCCCGCGCAAATTATAACCTAAATACCCGCATATGATATAGCTTCCCGTAGGTGAAAGAATTTTCATAAACAGATAATTATATCCTATAAAATAATATAAAAGTAGATTTCTACCTCCTTACAAATTAGTACAGAATAGTATATTCAACTGAAACATCTAAACGAAAAGAAAAACACTTATTTCATTCAGCTATTTATTATATAACATGGAATTCGAAAAAACTGTAATGCATTCAGCAATTATTGGAATGACGGCTGCATTGCATGTGACAGTTACGAGCGAGGATAAATCAAAATAATTGCCCTGGACATACACATAACAGCGCATCGTGTTGTAAAAAATCAATTAGAGAAATTCCACAGTTTTTTTTTTTTTATTATAATTAAAATAAGATCAAATAAAAAGATGAATGATTATCATCTTCTTGCCCTGTTTTCAGTCTATGTGCGGTCAGCGGAGTGATCACTCTTCTTTATCAGCAGTCATCTTATAATTAACACCCTTCACTTTCATATCATGCCTCGTACAGTACATTCATCGTTTATGAAATAAATAACCACCAAAATTCATTAATAATAATAATCTAACTCTTTATTACCCGATTCATCGCTTCAAAGAACGGGTAAACGATGAAATCCAGAACGCGCCTCAATTAGTATAATATAAGCAGAGACAAACGTTTAATATCTCAAAGCAGAGACACACAGATGTAGTCGTCGCTTAATCACCACTTATAACATCGCTTAAACAGCACAATGGGCCGAAACGACCGTACCGAGCCTTAAATAAGGGGCCGCGATTTTATCACACGTCGGGGCAAAATTATCTTTTGAGACGTCACGTTGAGTGGCTCGTAAAAGACCCACTGCACTTATAATACGGTAATATCAGTGATCTCGGTCATGCAAAACCGACTTTCCAGATCCAAGACGTCATCCGAGGAGATTGAGAAAAACAACCCCTCTTAATATAGATGTTATCGTACAAATTACATCCATTACTACAGTGGGTGATATCTTGTCCTTTATGTCCACTTATATTGTGCGCGTAATTATACTAACACTATTAACTTTACTACTCAACGAGGATTCTTATTAATTAAACGGATTTTCTTTATTAAAGAACAGTGTAAGATCTAATATAAACTATAAATAATTGTTAAAATATTATAAAGTATATCGAGTTTACTTTCTATTTGAACATGCGATGGTTTTACATATCATGGAATCTGTAAACCTCATTAGATTTTTACTATATTATATGAATAGTGTTTCTCGTTTATGATCTCAGTGAGGACAGTTCCTTATTATATGAAGAATTGTATAAAGAAATATATTTATATATTCGTAGATCTAAGTATCATTTATAATCATCTTTAAATATTTATAGGTAATGGCACTGCAGATGAGAGAATTGTAATAGAATGATTTCATAATAGTAGAAGAAAGTGATAAAAAGTGGAATTTAATCCCTAATATGGGATATAGAAATCCCAAATCTCCAATAGGGGAAAATCTCTATCTACGAAATTCTGACAATAACTCTAAGAAATTCACGTTCAGTTTGATGACGGATTTGTTTGGCTTATTAAAATATTGTATCAAAATTCCAATAAAGAGTAATTTAATTTAGAAAGTAACTTCGATATTCTGTTTGAGATATAAAATTCCGTTTTTGACTATTTACTTAGAGCAATGTGGAGGATCAAGTGTAAATTACTAGGTAATTTATAACTTTACAGTTAAATAAACTGTTTTAAGTTATTCAAGTAATCAGTAAATGAAAATCTTGTTATAGGTGTAGGCACAGTAACTAAAGAAAATGTTATTTATAAGCATTATCAAAAAATCACATGTGATTTTAAAAAGCTCAATAAATATCTAGCAAAATGCTTGTGTTGGCATTGGTTTGTTCCAGCACTGTGAGACTTTTTTTTACTTAAAGTTCAATATGATTCTTTTAAAATAACATTTTTAATGAATAAATAAAAATTGTACATTTAAAAAAAAATTTTTTTGTCATAAATGAGAACTAAGAAGCTGTTTATCAATTAGATATTCGTGGTCGCTCTTTTGGTTCTACGGACACAACTTATTAAATAAAACCTCATTGGAATTTATATATTATCCATATTACTTTTTTGTAATAATAGTTATTTAAGATACGAGTGCGGAAAGTAAGGTTTTACGAATAAGGGCCAAATTGAGGTAGCGAGGGTTTTCATTGGCACGAATTCGAAAAACCTTTCACGCTCAAGTTTCTTACAACATTTTTCAATGCTTTTTGCGAGGAAAAAAAAAACAAATATATCGATTAATAAAACTAAGTATGTATTAAAGGTAAAAATTATTTGTTAAAATTAAACGTGATATTTGAACATGGTTTCGTATCATACATTTTTATTTGAAAATATTCGTTCTAGGCTCCTTGAAATACTTTTGCCAATAAAGTTTGACATATTTTCATCAATTTTTTTTAAATTTTTTTGGTGTTTGGCCAAAAAAAATTTAAAAAAGTACTTTTAAGCCCGTGTGCAGTAAAGCATTTCAGTTCATTTATATTTAAGACGCGTTTAAAGACTCACTTTCGGTGTTTACAATGGATTTAAAAATAGTGCTTTATGAGCAACTGCATTGAAAAATCTATTAACCCCTTATATATGTATGATAAAACGGTTGGATCTTCTTAATTTTTACCAACAGAACTCGTGTGATGACAGTTTCCGCAATTGCCTTAACATTCAACACGCTGATTACGCTCAATTAAATTCGATCAAAAATGTTTCTTTGTCAAAAATACATACAGAGCAATGAGGTACAGAACATTTTGGACACTTTTGGTTAAATAATGTTAGTTTTAACGGTGATAAACTCAAGCTGTAAATGGCAGCATAAAACCTTATTTCAATGTGGACCCTGCAAATAAATCGAAAATTCAAATTAGAAGAAAAACATAATTTTCTAGGTAAATATATCATACATGATTTCTAATTTTTGATCCGTTTTGTCTTTGAAACGATTACTCCGCCTTTGCGTAAGGATATTGCTAGGTTCTTATTTTCCCTTCTGTGTTGGTCCACAGAATTTAATATAATTTGTATATATATGCTATTTATATTGAATGTTACATAGTTTTGATTACCTCAATATCTACAAAAATTGTCCCATCAAAAAAAAATTATCAGAATTCGTTGACACAAAAACATCGTATCCGATTACACTTCCACCTCGCTGGATAACAATATTACGATTTATTAGCGCTAATTAGTAAGTTGAGCAATAACTCGCTGGTATAACAAACAAAGGGAGACATTGCCAAGAGGCAATTACATAGAAATAATTATTGAAGATATTCCACTTAATTATCCCGACTTACTCGAGTATTATAACGATTATATTGAATTCCGTTGAAGGTACGATTAGAGTTTTATGATATATTAATGATTATAATAGTTAATGATTGATCTCTCTAATTGGATAAGAATAAGCTAATATAAATAACTAAAGAACAAAATATGATTGATAGATTTAATAAGCTTAGACAAATCCAACTTTGATCAAGACTAAACAAATCAAAGATCAAGACTTAAACTTTGCGTCTAACGCTTGCCTTAGACAATTCCAATTAACGTCGAATCAACTATATCGTTCTTTCACAAAAACGTCGCGATCACAATCACTACCACTTATCGAATATGAGCGTAGCGTGAAATTGGTAAATATCTTTCAAATGTCAAATTGATAAAATTAGACAATTGGGCTCCTGATGCAAAACTATTTTTCTGCGACATCGCCTACCTAAACAATAGCCTATGTCACCCGTGCATCATGTAGCTTCCCGTAGGTGATATAATTTTCTAGATCAGATAGTCTCCTACAAACAAACAATATAAGCAACTTTACCTCTTCATAATATTAGAATCGTAGCCAAGTTTTTTAAGAATTCACTAACGAGCAATCTTCATACAATGTCTTCGTTATTACTTTGTCTAGGGAAATTTTCGGGATTATAAAACTGAACATGACTAGAGTCCAGCAGGCTAATTCTACTAATGTTAACATAATGATTCCGCAACTGCAGAAGTTCCATCCGAAAACATCGGATTCTGTTTCTAGTTCCGCAACTTTTATGATGAAAATTCTAAGTTGTCGCTACATGTTTGTTTATTTTTAGCTTCGGCTTAAATTTTAATTTCTGGTTCTGTTTCCGCTTCCATTATGTAGCTTCCGTTGCACCATTAATAATAATCACATCTCAATGGAATCGCAACGACTTACATTTCACCATTGTATTTTCTACCTAAACTCCAATATTATTAGTTCAATGTCTGATCATCAATGGTGGCATCGGTATCGTCTGAAGTTATAAAAAAAATATACCACCTATTTAAAGTTACTTGGTACTCGTTTTTCACATACTCATACATAAATTCATATTTTTTAGAATTGATGTCTGAATATGTGAATTACCAGTACCTATATAATAATTGTTATACCTATGATATTTTGATAAAAACTATCACAATAACTGTTATAAAATAATATATCATCGTCATCAAAGATTATACTTTATATACTACAAAGTTATACATTATACAGTGCGGATTTGTGGGTGTTAAGGAACACAGAAGCAGCCGTGACCAACGGCTTTACGTACCTTCCCAAACACGGAGTAGTGGAGATAATAATTTTTGGTCACCCCTCCAAAGGCCGTCCTCGCGAAAGTTGCTTAACTTCTGCAACGCAGACCGAATGCACTTATCACTACGCTATCGAATTTGGTCGAAGGCGCAGCTGGTAACTGGTAAGTGAAGTTGAATAGTTTCGGTAATCAGGATTAGAATTTGCGTTTATTTTCTTGAATAACAGCAAAGCTATTTATTTTCAAATATAAAATATATATATAGTAGAACTTCGATAAGTTTAAGTTCAAGGTAAACACAAAATATTTTAAGTTATAGATGTTTTAAGTAATCAAGGGTCTATGTTATGAATAGGTTAATATAGAGCTAGGTATGTACATAGGTATGTATGTACCCTTGTTCCTATTTTTACTAGAATGCGTCAGAAAAACATATCGTCGGCTTAGAGTGTAAACCTGCCAAATCCATTTTTTGACTTTATGACGTTATTCATACCATTCGAAAGTGTAAAAAGAAATACATAATCTAGAAAAACAGTCACAGTCCGTTTTCCTTCAAAATTGTCAAAAACGCGTGATGAGTAAAACTGTCAAATCTATAACCTCAAAAGTTTCCTGCTAACTCCGTGTAAGCCGCCATTTTATACCGAGATTCCGATTACAGCGAATGTGCTCGTTAAAATAATTGATGTTTTCTGTGATAACAGCTTAAATAAAGGTTGAAAGTTAAAGGACTGAAAGGTATGTGTTTATACTGCTATCTTAATATTTATTTGTGATGATAAATTAAGCAATATTTATTGTAAAACTTCAGATAACCTATAGCCCAAACATGTAGGATTTAGCAGTTTTTCCTAGCAATCAATCTTACATTCATTGTACTTAGCAGGTATTACGTATCATCATAAATTAACTTTTAATTGTTTTTTAATTAATATCTTGCTTAATAAGCTTTCTGTTAATGGGTTATAGTCAAGTATTTAATCTATCTATTCAATTTTGAAAATCTAATTGAGAAATTAAAAACTATACGTTTAGATTGGGACGTAATTTTAGAGTTTCAACGTATAGTATAATTTTAATTTTATTTCGCTTTATTTTCTACAATTATTGTTATCAGAATGTATTAATTATTAATTTGCAGATGTCATCAAGTAAGCATTGGCGTGGCCGTAAAATCCTGGACTTGTGTGCAAGCAAAGAAGATATAAATAAACAAACAGCACCGGAATCATCTCAAGCACCCTTCCCCGAAGAATGGTCTGTGGTTGAAAAAGTCGAAATTGAAATGATTATATCTAAAGAAATATATCATGACTTAAGCTCAAGTACACATTGCGACTCCTTCTCACCTACCGGTTTGAATAATGTACCTGTAGGAGATATTTTTAGTATACTCTCACCACAAAATAATGACACTAAAGATGTTTATGTAACTTTGAACCAAATAAATAACAATAGTCATATTGAACCTCAAAATACAGAACAAGAAGTCAAATTCGAAAATATCAATAATAATATTTCCCCTTTAGATAAATCCCCTTTGCATAAATTAATGACTGATGACCACAACTGTTCCAATAGTCTGGTTTCTGAAAAAACTATCAAGCAGAGCACTTTGCAACAAATTAAAAATAGTCCTAGAAATTCTTTTACCGGTACTATCGACCACTCCATTAGCTCAAAACTATCCATCCAAATAGATGATTTGATATCAGATGAAAGTATGCACGAATGTCTGGTACCATACAAAATTAATTCTGACTCTGAGTCTGACTACGAAAACTATCCAAAGAAAAGCAATAAAAGAAGAAAAAGGATTCACATTCAAAAATCAAACTGGTATGCTGAAAGTAATAGAAAGTTGAGAGAATCTGGAAAAAAATACTATGGAAGAAAAAAAGAAGAAAAGTGGAATTATGAAGTTCCAAGGCAACCTAGAACTATGAAGAATAGATGCTCGTGTAAGGAAACTCAAAAAGGATCTTTGAAATGTTCAATGTTTACAGAGGCAGATAGGCAGAACATTTTTAAAGAATTTTGGTCAATGACTTGGGCAGAGAAAAAAATTTTTGTTGATAATCTTGTGACAGCTTTGCCTGTCAAGAGACCAAGGGGAAGAAAAACTAATAATGAGGAATCGAAAAGAGGACAATCTTTATTTTATTATTTAAAAAAGGATGATGAGCCAATCAAAGTCTGCAGAACACAGTTTTTAAATACGCTTGCAATTGGTAGATGGACTGTTTTAAATTGGAAAAATAAAAAAGGGGGGGCAGCTTTCAAAAAGAACGACAAGGATTTTGATTCCAAACAAACAAAAAAACCTTCTAAGCCTTTCGAATTAGAACGTAAGGAGCTGAAAAAGTTTTTAGAATCACTGCCAGCGATGGAATCGCACTACTGTCGTGCTAGTACACAAAAGAAGTACTTGTTGCCAGAGTGGCGTTCAAAGCGATCCCTTTATGATTTTTACGTCAATGATTGGTGTAAAACACGTAATGTTGTTGCTTTATCCATCTGTAAATTTCATGAAGAATTTGACAATCTTAATCTCGGATTGTTTCACCCTAAAAAAGACCAGTGCGAAATATGTGCTCTCTATAAAGTCGGAAGCAAATCCCAAGAAGAATATTCAGAACATCTAAAGAAGAAAGAAGAAGCTAGATCTGAGAAGGAGAAAGACATACGTGAAGAAAAACTTGTTTTTACTGTAGACTTGCAGGCGGTTCTAATGGCCCCTAAATCAAACATTAGTAGCTTGTACTATAGAACAAAGCTCCAAATACACAATCTTGCCTTTTTTAACTTAAACAACAAAGATGGCTATTGTTACCTATGGAACGAAACTGAAGGAGGCTTGAATTCTGAAGAGTTTGCAAGTATTTGGGTAAGCTTAATAGAAAAAAAGGTTTTACAAAATGAGTTAGCAAAACCAAATAAAATAATTTTTTATAGCGATGGTTGTACCTATCAAAACAGAAGCTGTCTGATGTCTAATGCATTATTATGCACGGCTATGAACAACAACATCATCATAGAACAAAAATTTCTAGAAGTTGGGCATACGCAGATGGAAGCTGACAGTATTCATTCGTCTGTTGAAAGGGCTCTTAAAAACAAGAACATCAATGTGCCCGCAGAGTACATCACTATTTGTAGATCAGCAAGAAAACACCCTAGACCTTACGACGTAACTTACTTAAACCATAGTTTTTTCAAAAACTTTAATGACGTTGGGTTTTTCAAAAGCATTCGTCCTGGACGCGGTAAAGGTGACCCCAAAGTAACTGACATTAAAGCTCTTCGGTATACTCCAGATGGTGATATATTCTTCAAATTAAGATTCACAGAAGATTGGACCGTACTACCGCAAAGAAAATCATCGACAGTTACTGCATTGCCTTTTGATTCGCTCCAAAATCAGCACCTTAGTAGGAGGAAAATAACGAAAAGAAAATTTGATGATCTGCAATATCTGAAAGATACCTTACCTGCAGACTACCGTAATTTTTACGACAATTTACCTTATGAGTAAAAAACTAAAGTTGAGACTGATTTTAACATTGAGACTGAGTAATAAAACCGTATAAAGTAATACCGTAAAAAAAATATACCAAATTTTTGTTAATTTTTAGTTTTTATTTTGTTCTATGAATGTTATCAATACTTTTTTAAATTTTGTTTTGGTTTATGAAAACCTGTTAAGTTGTTTTTTAAAATAAATATTTGATTACGAAAACCTGCTAAGTCACAAAAGTGGTGTTAATTAAATAAATGCTGAAGTAAATTATCTTTCTTTTATTTTAAATTTTATGGTATACAAATACAAATTTAAAAATATAAAAGTCTTTTCATAAAATATACTCATATTTTTTTAGGAATGTTTTTTGTCTCTCCTGAAAATTTACCTAATAAGGAGTTAGCAGGCTTACACTCTAAGCCGACGATATTATTTTTTGAAGTTATAGAGTTTTTAAGTTACCGAGGTGTGAGTTATCGAGGTTCTATGTATATGTGAAGTCTTTACAATAACTCATTTTACAACTAGGCATATAAAATACTTTAAAAGCCTTTATATTTTCTAATTTACCCCCTAAAAGAGGCCGTCATGTTCCTAATTTATTTGTATACGTTACACGGTCATCTTTGGGTCACTGATTTACATATGTGTATTAAATTTTAATTCAATTAGTCCAGCAGTTTTAAAGAAAACTGACAGACAAACAGTCTTGCAGACAGATTTGCAGATGTAATCTTAAAAGGGTTTTCGTCTTTTAGTACGTAACCCTGTAAACACCGAAAACAAAAGTCTAAATTTGGTAATATCCTTGACGGATGGTAATTAATTGAAGGCATGTTTACGTAGAAATAAAAACTTTAACAGTTAATAAAACCTGAAAAGGCCCCAGGCGTCATCCTTGACCCAATGTCCTACTTCTGTCTGGCTGCGCAACTTCGTCTAATCTCAATCAATTATACCATTCCATGTAGATACATACATCACTTACAATTTTACAGTATTAATATCTTCGGGAAAAAATATATAATACGCTCTAAATATAATTAGAAACTATTAAAACAACTCGTTATGACGTCAGAAGTGATTAATGAACTATTTCGTAAATTTTCATGTGGTCTGAATTAATAATTTGATCAAAAATACATGCACATTGATCTAACTGTTCAATCTAATGCATTATTATTCTAATACTGTCACTTATGTCTTGTTTTATATTCATTAAACATTTGATACATTCTAATTCGTTAAGTTATCAGTATTCAAAATCAATTAAGAATTAAAACAGTCTATTATGAATTTTATAACGTTAATATGAACAAAGTAGGGTTGCAATTCGTTACTCAGACCATCGTCATGCTTGCAGATGCGGTTCTAGAAAGAACTTCCCGCGTTTATTCCACGCATGCGTCATTGTTAAGATTCCCATGTTTTTGCACTAATCCTGGGAATTTTGTTTTGTCTAGTCTTAAAGTTGCAATAGTGCTGATTTAAACAGAAACCAACTAACAGGTACTTCGGTCCTTGTTATCATATTTAAAATAAAAAAAAATACTGAATTATATTATAACAAAAATAAAATTTTCTTAAATCAAAGATATGATCAGCAACATCAATGCAGAATAAGTGTAAAATTAAACAAGTGTCAGTTTCGCTATCGTAATATCGTTTATTTGATAGAATCCTTGCTGTGCTACGGGATGTTAAGAATTTGTCCCTACTTTCAGTGAAGCCGTGGTGGCCCTAGCTCCTGTAGCCCGTCCCTTTCCCGCTTACTGCGCGCCAGTTCTCGCTGCGCAGCGCGCCGCGTCGTCACGCGTTGCGACAACAAAAATTCTTTTATTTTTTGGTCACGATGATCGCTGACTTGCCACCTCTGCGAGCCATGGAACTACAACTTTATGCACTAAACACACGCCCAGAGTGTACCTCGCCGGACCTCCCCAACGGTAGTGTTAATTTGTATGCTAATACGCCGTAGTAAATACAATAAAACACTGTTTGTTTCTGAAGAGTTATTGTGACCTTTCCAGCCGCTGCGTAGTTTGTTTTGATCCGGACACATTTTGCGCATTATGATGACGGCGGCCGTCATATATATTGTCTATGAAATTTTTACAGACGAATTGAATGATATGGACAATGTTTATCATGTTTTCGTGATGGTCTGTCAGAGTTTGGGTCTTAGGTGTTCGATATCAGCTCGTAACCTCGCAATATATTGGAAGATTGAAAGTGCCTCACTTGTTGCTTTATCCCATACTTGTTTACAATGCAGCCCGTTATTTTCGCGTCGATTTACTCCAAATGAAATGACAAACATTTAACATATGAACGGCCGGCGACAGATAATAACAGATCGGCGTATCTCGTGGATTCCAAGCATATTTAAACTTATTGGAAAAGCGAGGATGGAATTTATATTTTTTAATATTAATTTGATTTAAAGTAAACGCATAATAACAATTATTTGGTGTGTAATATAATATTATAAAACAGCAATACGTATAATAAATAAATATAATACGCACCATATTTTTAATATTACAACTTATTATTATCATAACGATAATAGACCGAGATATGTTTAAGAAACTTATTCCAACTTATCTATAAACTGAAACTCTATAATAAAACAAATTATTTTAAATTTAATAATCTTCTAAATATATATCTCGTTAGTAAAATTTAGTTAATCTAACATGGTATAATCAAACTTTAATAAACTGAAGAGGCTTGTACTTTGGACGACTGAACTATAAACTCAGTTACAACTTAAAAATTGGCGTATGAGATTATTTTAAAATATAAATTAACGTGTTTGCTAGACGGGGCTCAAATCTTAGTAGTTATATAACAGACCCCCCCTCGTGGCCGACGACGTAAACCGTAGAGTGAAAGATCGTGATGTCGCCTATAGTGACACAACAACCTTTAATTTTAATTTGTAAAGCCGCTCTTCAATATTGTGTTGTTAAAAATCCCATATAAATTGACATTTGCCGTCATCTTAAAACCGATTTATAAAATTGTCTAATAAATACACTTCCATCTGATAAAGACAGAGGGGTCGAAATAGGGCGACTTGACCTTTCCAATACTGCCGATGTAACACGAAGGAAATTTCGCGTGGCTGTATTCGAGAAAATAGGTGTGTCGGAAAGTAAAACTAAAATAAACAAATACACTTTAAATATATAACTCGTACGAATTAACATGACACCAGAGGGCCTATTCTATTTGTACTCGAACGAAAATTCGGAAAATTACGAATCGTTCTCAATAGTTCTGCTATAATCATATCGTGAAGATTATATGTGTATGAGACAGAATCAAGTTCCATATCTGTAGCATCATCAAAAATGCCGTTTCTTTGGAGTCGTATTAGCATTACAAAAATAGACGAAGTTTTTGTTTACGGAATAATAAAATGGACCTTCAAGTGTCATGTTAATTAGTACGAGTATTATATTGTTATATTATATATAAACATCGTGACAATCGTAACAATGATGTACAATGTTAAATCAAAGCGAATGAATCCTTTTTTCGACATAATATTTATTATACTAAAGATAACAAGCAGTCATTTAAAATTTTTGACATATCCAACAATATCTCAAGATGTTTGATCCTCCTATGACGTTGTAGCGTTCTAGATTAACTGTGAGATTAATGTGATTATGTACAATATATCATATGCATCTGTCAACTGACCGACTGTAGTTTTGATTTTAAAATATTGAATATGTGTCATACAAATGTCCACTTAGATTGTAATATTAATCTAAAAATATTTAAACATTACTTAGTTCTAAGTATTTATCTTAATATTTTAACTTAAAATGTAAGAATTCTCCGACATCTCCCTATTATATTTCTTGGATATTCTGATGCTGAAGTAATATTGAATTCGGATTAGATTATGCTTTACCTATTCAGCGAATCTTCCAAGGCTTTAGTATATAATATTAAAATTATACTTCTTCTACTTACAAAAACTGTTAATTTACTTACAATGCTTTTGGAGAGCCTATATTTTTTCTTTGAATACCTATTTCTGGGAAGGTTTATATTTTATTTGAAGTATTTTAATGCAAATTATCTATACTTATTAAATATAAAACGTCGTATATTTTGATCATTTTCGTGAATTTTCAAAAAACACGAAACCATTCTTTTAGAAAATTTTCAGTCCCGTGTCAGAAAAATACAAATTTTATTAAAAGGTTGCCAATTTATTACTGAATAGATATTTCGATTAAAACGATTTTATTCATTCAATCACTATTAATAAAGTTCCAATTTTCATTACAAGCATTTATGTTTTTAAACTGAAAAGGGTTGATTCACTAATTATGGCCATTCAAATAAATATCTAATATATACACAGACTATTTTATATAACGATGGTTTTTAATTATTTGTAAATAAAAATTGCGTGAAACGAATTTGTTAACACCCGTACCGATGCTATGTGAAATGGTCTATCTATAAAACAGAATTTATACTTAATAACTTTCCGTTGGTGGCTTCGCCCGCGTATTTCTGTAATATACATATAAAATTTCCTCTTGAATCCACTATATATTGAAGAAATCCGCATTAAAATCCGTTGTATAATTTGAAAGATCTTAGTGTACAAATACCGGGAAGCGACTTTGTTTTATAATATGAATGTATTAAGCTTCATTTTTAAAAATATCCATTAAAATTGTCATTAGTGTCAAAGTCAAAATAATCTTTATTCAAATAGACTTTTTAAAGCGCCACGCTTCTGCATGAATGGGCCGGCTCGACCAGAGTGATACCACGGCCTCACAGAAAACCGACGTGAAGCAACGCTTGCGTTGTGTTTCGTCGTGTGAGTGAGGGTACCGGAGGCCCAACCCCTCCCTATTCTCTTCCCTCTAACCCTCGTCCCTTCCCTCTAAGGCCGGCAGCGCGCTTGTAGCCTCTCTGGTGTTGCAGGTGTCCATGGGCGACGGTAATTACTTACTATCAGGTGATCCGTCCGC